GGGGGGGGGGGAAGAACCACCCCTTAGGATTTGAGATGATTGTGTTATTCGTATTATGTGAAAGCCGTGTACGCGAGGTGACGAATGGGTACACAACCTATATATGGTATTTGACCGGTTTTGAGTATCTAAACACTTCCTATGCCTTTAATTGAAGTGTCGTAACTTGTGATATCTTTCATTATTAATTTACTCTTACATGCTATACTTGACGTTGTTAGCACTTGTTCTTCCTCTTTCTTGTTATTTTGCACTTATATATTTTAGTTGAAGTTGTTGCCTTCCTCATTGTCTTGTTCCCTCTTAATTGTTACGTTCCTTCCATGACTCCGTGCTTATCTCCTATTTATCTTAATTGTTGTAATTGCACACCTTAGTTCTCACGCGCTTCACTTGTCCTGTTTTTTTTGTAATATTTGTTGTGTTCCTCGATTTTTATGTGGTTCCTTTATTGTCGTGTGCTCATACCCTATGATAGTATAAATTCTTGTAAATTGAGAATTGTATTGTTGCGGTTAATTTAAATTTCTTGTGGATCGGGTTGCGCGTCGCAATAGGTGGAATAAAAGAGGATTTATATTGATACGGTTGGATCGGGTTGCGCACCGCAACAGGTGAAATAAGGGAGGATTATAATATTGACTCTAATTATATGGTGGGATCGGGTTGCACGCCGCAACATATATGTACTTATTATTATTGATATTTATATGGTGGAATAAGGGAAGATCGTGTTTGTACGGTGGGATCAGGTTGCGCGCCGCAACAAATTATGTGTGTTGTATTCATTGTTGTATTGTGTTAGCTTCTATATTTATCATGTGAGATGCTGAGGACTGATATCTCTGAGTTTACTGATTTAGAGGATTGAGTTGGTTTCACTAGTTTACTGCTTTACCGTCATTTCCTGTTTTCCTTTCCTATTACTATTATTTTGGTAAACTGATTTTTAAGATGAATTTACTACGCTGAGTTATTATCCCATACCATGTAGAGTTGTTGGTAATACAACGGTTTTAAATAAAGAAATTATTAACATGCTTATCTTATGTGACTCTTACGTTAAAACTCGTCTTTTCCTCTGGTATTTTACTATTCTTAATAGTTGTCATATTTAATTTTAATTGATTTTTCAACTTAAACTCCTCACCCTATTTGATGGTTTTATCTTACTTACAGATTGTTGTTATGTTTTTATTTAACAAACTCTAAATTTAATTCAGTAGCTATCTGATGCTTTATTTTAATTGAAAATGCTATTTTCTTCACCCAAATGATTTCTAAAATAATTTTATTTTTTCAATTGATTTCCTACTTTATACCAGGTTGTTATTATGCCTTGTTGTATAAGATTAAATCTCCTGAATATTTTAAAGTGGCATTTGATACAGATACAAGGTACATGGTAGCACGTGGATTTTGGCGTGCGAAAGTGATTTAAAAAAATATGGGCACAAGATGGCATGTGTGTAAGGTTTGGAAGTTGTAACTTATGATCTGAGATTACGAGATGTGGTACCTGGGGTAATTCTTGTTGAAATTCGTGCATTAGGAATGATTTGGTTGATTGAGTTGTCATCGGATTCCTTACTTGAACCCATTCATATTTCATTTGTACCTCGACTATATTGTTTGCTTAGTTACTTGGTTGTTTCTTGTTGCTATTTGTGCTCCCCTTATTTTCACTGCTAATTGTAATTTGAGATCCTTTTGCTATTGGCCTTGTTTTGATATTCCTACCTTGTTATCTTTATGTCATATCCTGCACAGGTTTACATGTCCGGTAGGTATCTTGACCGGCATCGTCACTACTCTACCTAGGATAGGCTTGATACTTACTGGGTACCACTGTGGTGTACTCATGCTATGCTTCTGCATATTTTTATGTAGATCCAGGTACATCGGGTCGAGTTGGTTCTGAGACTTATGCATGTGCTTCTCGAGACTTCAAGGTACACCTGCCCGACGTTCGCAGGCTCTGTAGTCACCTTCTGTTACACTTTATTTCCATTGTGTCCTATTATTCCGGGACAGTGATGTATTGTTATCTCTAATGACTCTTAGAAAAGCTTATGACTTGTACTACTGGTTTTGGAATATTGTATCATTGTTGGCTTATTATATAAACTCTTGTTTCATGCTTATTAGTTATTTGGTTAGAGATTTATTATTAAATCAGCAAGTGTTAGGCTTACCTAGTCTTAGAGATTAGGTGCCATCACGACATCCTACGGAGGGAAATTGGGATCGTGACAAGTTGGTATCAGAGCTCTAGGTTCATAGGTGCTATGAGTCATAAGCAGGTTTAGTAGAGTCTTGCGGGTCGGTACGGAGACATCTGTACTTATCTTGGAGAGGTTACGAAAACTATTAGGAAATTCCACTTCTTTCATTCCTTTTCGTGCGATATTGATTCAGCTTGAAACATATATCTTATGTTCCTTTACATCCTCTCATGTATGATATTGCGCATTCGATATTAGCTATGCGCCAACGGTTCGTGATGTTGCGGATGGACCACGAGGGAGCAGGGATACTCAACCATCGTCTTAACGTGTCGTCCAGATTGAGGATGCGGAAGTATTTAGAGATCGTTCAGTTGTGCACGTGGGGGTACATCGAGTTCTGGCATCTAGTTGATAAGTACAAGCTTGGGAAGTTTTAATTGGTTGGCTAGTTATCGCGATCATGGTAGAGGCATGAGGTGGATGTTGATTTGAGGATAGTTGGTGGTATTAGAGACCATGTGGTTCGTATGGGATTTCTACTCAGTGGAAGGTACATATTATCATTCAAGGCACTGGAGGAAGCGAGTTTGACTGTCACGAGAATGGACATGAGCTTAGTAGATGACTTGGGGTATCTCATGATTGGTGTTGTACGAGCTGTCAAAGTTAGTTTTGTGGATCATTGGATGTTGTTTCCTATGGCTTCGCGCCAAGTGGGGGAGCCTACTATCGGCGATCAGATTGCAAGGTCAGGTGTTATATCAGTTTTGACCTAAGATGTATATATACGTGGTATTAAAAGGTTCCCCAAAATTTGTATATGATTAAGATCTAAGATTTGGATGCGATAATGTTGGGACTAGCGGTATTTCTACGTCATTAATAAATATACATTTCAGTGTCAGAAGGGTTAGAGAAACGACTTCAGATTCACAGAAGGTTTA